GAATTTTCTATGCAAACTTATAGGAGCCAGTTATTTGTATTTCTTCTAATTGTTCTCCCTAAATAGATTGCTGTTTTACATATACATTGTTCTTCAACCGTACATAGAGTTAACAAATTTATCATAAGCAGTATCTATTAATACAGACATATTAGCCTTCTTTACAGCTAACTTACATAACACTACATTACTTTTTGTATATGTAGCTTAGTAAAAATAAGTACCTGATAGGAATACTTAATATAGTATAGCAGATGTATGAACGCGTGTCACGTGTCTTAACCTAACCAAATAAAAGAATAACTTGCAATTAAACTTGCACCTGGCCTTTTGACTTTAAAATATGTTGATAACATCCCCACAGCCTAAAGATGAAAAGCATAAGACGTATAAACTTAATAACAAATTAAATAGTAAGCAGTAAGACTGGCAGGTCGAAATTGGTGGAGATCACTTATGAACTGTTTAGGACTTGAAACATGACTCTGGACTTCATTGTCATTCCAAAAGCTATGAGGAATCAGTGGTGGGGTTAGATTTAGATTCTCAGATGAAGACAACGTAGACAATCACTAAGTAATCACTGAGATGCCTCAGTTATCTATGGAGCATTTGTGACTACAAACAATGAATAAACCAGTTAATTGAAGCAATATGGAGGTTCTGGCTGTTGAGAAAGAACCAAACATAATCGAATATACATCTGAAGACATTAAGGATAATTATTTGGTGCAAAATTGTGAAAAATAACCATATTTCTTGTTAAAAGACAAACTATTGACTACAATGGGGATCATTTTCATCTCATCTGTGAAGTGTAGGTTCAAATAGAACTACGAGTTAATGCAGTGCACTTTGAACGGCTCCTGTCTTGTTGCAGTACAGCCACGTTTAGCAGTATTAATTGATCAATAACAAGTCTGCAGCGGCTTCCTCCTCCCTTCTAATCAGCCAGTGTTTGTAATGCCCTGCTCTACAGTAGGTGAGTGTTCTTCACAGGAACTTAGCAATGAATTACCACACAAGCCTTACTTGCTGGGGTCTTTCCTGGGACAAATCAAGGTAATGTTAATTACACCATTAAATTCATTTGCTCAGTGTAAATCCCCCCCGGCTGCTCTAGATCATGCTGTGTCCATTCTTAAGATACAAAGGGATCTCAGGTCTGTCTGTGTGGAAATAAAGACAGGTCAGTTTGTATGGTAAATCCCTGTTTAAAACAAAAGGAGAGAACATAAAGGAACATTTATTGTTAAATATAAACCACAATAAAAGCTTTAAGATCCTAAAATAAACCCATATGTTGCATAAAGTCACTTGGTTGTCCGATTTTACCTCCTCTCTCTTCAGGTACTTGCAGCTGCTTAAGATGTCATTACCTCTGTTGGGACTGTTAAATGGTTCCATAAAGAAAAATAAAATATTCATTAACTTGGTTAATAATTCATTCAGATAAAAATGCAGTATGTGGTTTGCAGAGTGAAGATGAATGCATAATGAGTGCATGCTCAGCATATTTGTGCTTGGGAATGTTTTTATTCACGATAGCAATAGAAGAAAATTAATTGAAAGTTCATATTTCATTTTTTGTTCTATAAGTTATGCTAAATGATAAAATAGATGCTTTCCAAGCAGTTTCTGACTAAGAAACAATTAAGAGGGTGTATAAGTAACCCGCTTACTAAAGTATGGGTTTTTAATTACGGAAGGATGTGCATTTAAACAGTCTTTATCAAATTGTTAATGTAAGCTTGACCTATTTCCCACAGTTTGAGGAAAACGAGTGAAGCACTTTGTACTTTGCTGCCTGAAAATTGGAACCATAACCTCTGCTTATCATGTGACAAAAGCCTGCAGAATGAAACAGTAAATTCATAATTTCATGAGAAGTTTGGCTATTACCGAAAATATCCAGTTGCTGCTCCAGATGCTACATCAAAAGTGTCCTGACCCGTCCAGAAACAGCAGTAAGTGTGTGCACGTTGCTTCAGTTAGCACGGGAGTGGTAAAGTGTTCCCACACCGCCACACTGCAGTGTAAACACCGCTCCTCCAAACACTGTCAAACTAATTTCCTCACACCACAGAGGTTCATTTTGGCTTTCAGACGAATCACTTATTTCTCTAATTATCAATTGTGACACCCATAATCACTGGAAGACAGTGTCGCTGAATGCATGGCATATCTTTTGTGTTATAATTCTGTGCATCTTGACAAACATGACCCATTAAACAACCCTGTGGCCTTCTTCAAGAGTGATGATTACACTAATTAAAACTGCAAAACAACACGAGAGGGTTACAGACGTGCCAGAATTAAACAGGTCATTAAATCAGCCGGGGAATATGTCAACAGCCACGCTGCCTGTCACTCCCACAGTATGCTACTTTGAGAAGAAGGGAACAAATACACCTTGTGTACATAAATGTGCTCATCATTTACATATCACATATGGTGGCCCTGAAGTGCCAAAACATTATGAATGATAAAAGAGAAAACATGTCAATGGTCGTGTTTCCATTTAACGTCAAGCAAATGTTTCGGTTTTTAAATGTTGTAAAACGAGATGCAAAATTAGGCGCGTTTCCTTCAACCTGTTTGGTAGGTTCAGATTTTGCTACGGAAAAGCCTGGTTTTGACAGAAGATAATGGTATATGCTATACTTACAGTATGGCAGTTATCCATCAGGATATGTGGTAGCAGAAGTGAGGGTGGTGAACCGGAAACAAAACAACCCGCCTTGCCTGACCTATGAAGACACAAATCATGAAGAAAGGTCTGAAACCACTGATAATGTTTCACAATGTTGTCACAAGCATGAAGAAGTCGGTCATGTGTTTTCTGAAATGTTGGAAAAAGGAATTGAGGAATCCAATAAAGCCTCTTTAATCATCACACTCGGACTCTGCATTTAGCCCATTCCATTATTGGAAGATTATGTTGTGTTTTTTATTCTATTTAAAAAAAACGTTATATATTGTGTTTTTAATGTTGCACCTAATGTATTTTTGCATCTTTTTGCATCGTTCACAGTAGTTTTCCTAGTGATGAGGTAATATAGTCCCCAAATAAAGATACAAAGAAATCGACCATGCCCTTTTAAAGGTCACACATTTCATGAATCTAATATTGACTGTAAGCTTTATCAACACAGAAAAAATGCAACGAGAGGAGGCGTTACAAGTTTTAGTTACACCATAAAAACTGAAAAAATTGCGGCTTAATTGTTATCAAACCCCTGAACAATGCACAAACAAAGCAACATTACCACGTCTGATATCCATGTTGTGTTAGGTTCGAGGTGTTGTGAACGTCGCTTGCCTTTATCAGCTGCATCTCGGAGATCTCTCCTTGGAGTTAATCCTCTTCCAGCCGGCGATAGCAGTGAGTGATAGTGCTGATGTCGTGTTACCGGCAACACATGTTCCCTTTCATACAACAGCAGCTTTCTAACCATTTAATAGGATTGTTGTTGTTGTTTTTTCCCCTCGCAGCCCCCCACTCCACACAACAAACACTTTTCCCTCGAAGTGCTTCGACATGTGCCCAAGGAATTTGTCTCCGCGTTTCACAACAAATCAGCCTAGGTCAGGGGCTAAGATTGGCCTGCAGGAACAGACTATAGAAAACAGCTCCTCAACATGTCGAGAGGGGGAAGTGGATTTTCCAGCTTAAAAGCAGAATCATCTCTGCTCAGGGCATTATCCTGTGTTCCAAGAGATTAATAAAGTGAGATGCTATTGATACGGCTGCTCTTGGATCAGCGCTGCGCCATGTTCACTGACAACTACTAGCTGTTAAAAATGGCTTTCATATACGGAAAAAACATATTATCAGATGCTTCGTGCGTTTTGTTTGGTTTTTCAATGAGATAATAACTGTAATACTGAATAAAAAACCCAATGTTTATGAAATAACTCAAACAACACGTTGTTCTCGAGGAGTTATCCGAAGCTTTTGAAGGCTCTAAAAATGCGACTACTTTTTGTCCCATTATTAAAAGCATCTCTGATGTTTCCTCACTCTTCAGTCAAGATATATTTTTCATAGCAGTCTTCAAAGTGAAGAAATCCCATGTTGTACTTTGATGTGCTTAACACAGTTTTAACTCGCGTCTCATTACAGAGATAATTAATAGTTTAATTAGCACCAATTCTCACCCACTGACAGCCTCTCAGACACAGTCATGTGATTGGCTCGGATGTAGAAGGATGCAAAAAGCTAGATTTTTCTAAAATCAGCATTTGGTTTGAATCATTTATCTAGGTTTCTTCAGCTCAGGTGTTTTGGTTCCTAATTGCCTACAAACTTTTTATTTCTGATGTTATGGTAATTTCCCTCTTATTTGTTCAGCCTACACAGCAGATCTAGAGAACAGGGGGACAAAGTGCCCAAACTGCAACAACTTAGGCGGGATTCATTTTAATTCTCATTACCTTGAAGCAAAGCAATCATTTTCTATGGTTAAGAAAAAGATATATAAGCACGCATTATGAATAAAAGTAATTATCATGCTTTTGCTTTTTTGCGTGCTGTTTGCAATTACTACTTCCTGGAATCTGAATGAGCGTTTCACAAGAGCTACGGATACAAAAAAAAGAAAAAGATCAAAGTGACAGTGAGAGGAATCGACGCGAGTTTACAGATGCTGAAGAGAGCTCATCACACAATGAGCGGCGAGTGTAGGCTTCGAGAAACAGCGCGTGCCTCTTGTTCGGGATTGAGAAACAATAGCATGTCTCCCAGCATGGGTGAGGGCCAACAGCAAAGCTCCCCCTCTTACATCTCCCCACCCCCAAAACGTTCACCCAACTTCCAGTTTACAACTGCTCACAACTGTTTACAGCAGCCAAATTTCATTTTCTTCTCCCAAATCCTATCGCACATTATCCTGTACATTGCATTAGGGCCCTAATCTTTCCTTTCTCTTCCTCGGAAGAAGAAAGGAGCGCCTTCATGATTAACCCACTTTACAGCAATAAATAAACGCATCATCCAGTAATGTACACCAGATTTAATTTGAAGGGGGGGAAAGAAAAAGGCCAGAACGCTTAAAATCACTGAAATGTAATGAAAAATAACACAATGCAGACACCAATGGGCGCCTTAGGAATTAATTTGAATGCTCCATAATTTTTTCGCTCTCTTGTGCTCTCTGGATTGGTTTTTCCTCAGCCAACTGTGTGACTTTTCCCCCCCTCACACTGTGCTGTTGAGAAGCCTTCAAAATATACAAAGAGGATCAGTCCTCCATAAAAAAACACCACATTATATTCACTTAAAAAAATAAGAGTTTTTCTCCGTGTTTGTCACATGAAGCCCATGTTGCTTTTGGTTTCCCATCGTCTTTTGGCTTCAAACCTGCAAAAACAGAAAATAAAATATGAAATAACTGAACCCATACAGTATGAATCAATTCTAGCTTCCAACTTCAATTTCTAATGCCCAGTTCCATAGCTCAATCTTAACTGGACTCGAGTGTCACACATGGCAGATAAATGATGGTGAACACAAACACAGAGAGATGTCCTACCCCCAGGATATTTGGTTCTTCCTCTTCTGCGCTGCCCTCAAAGCTTCCTCTTCCTGTTTGTGTTGCACAAAGTCACGGCAATCAGCGGCTTGAGCGATTTTCACAGCCAGCTATTTAGAGGCAGACAGAGGAGAGGCCCATTAGAGAATGGAAATCAGTCTGTGCGACAAAAAAGGCTCTCTGCCTGACTGATGTGTCAGGGTGGCTTCTCCTCAGTGTCTCTGCGGCCCCTCCACACAGAACCACCCTTACCCGGATTTCCTAGAATGAAACACTCTTTGCATTAGCACTGTAGCACATGCAGTATGTCACAGTGTTGCATTAAGCATGATGCAACACTGATGAAGCAGCAGCCTGTGAAATACGAATAAAAAGAGCAAGTGAAGAATAATATTTGGACAATTGACATGTCTAATCATAATGATGGTTTAAAATATATATATTTGGCTTTTGGTTTCATGAAAAAGTAAGAAGTTGGGTTTGTCAACTGTTAAATGCGCATCTGTTATAATACAACAAACAACTCCTCTCCTTCCCAGTCATCTGGCTTAGTGTTATTTTGAATGTTTCCCCTGTAAATTAAAGTTTTTCTGTTTCTGAAACAGACATTAAAGCTGAACATTTGTTGTTTGCCCAGTCAAGCAAAAATGTCGCCAATCGATTATTCGTTTCACTTACTAAGTAAAAAAAACATGTCAATAACTCACATATTCCATCTCTTAAATATCAGTATTTGCTGGTTTACTTAGTCTTCTTTTATACTCAACTTAATATCACCCCATGGGCTCTTTGATAATGTGATGGCCTATTTTAGTGACAAATTATCAATAATGAATACAATAAGTCATTAAAACTTAGATTTCGACAGTGCTTTGATACTCGGTTTAAGAACTGCAACAATTCAAGCTGTTAAAAAAACTGCAACACCCCACATTCTCGAAATATGTTATAGGGCAATGTTCAATGAAAAGTAATAGGTAGAGAAATATAGTTTAAATAAGAGCGTTCAAAATTGTTATTGTTGAATATGTGAGTGGGGGGTGACGTGCCCAATGGCTCCATAAATTACAATAGCACCTTTTTATTACAATTATTCTAATCTATTTCGCCTTTTGTTTGAGGAGTCATATTTTTTTTGCTCATGGCTAATAGTGTCTCACGCTCATTGTTTCTCTTTGATTACTGCTTTTTTTCTTGTTTAACCTACAAATGAAATAAGGGGGTAAATAAACCATGAGAAAAGAAATTCAGCATTTTGCCATTTTCTCAACAAAAACCTTGCAATGGCATTTTCTTCCGCTCATCACCGGTGTAAAATAGACTTTTCTGTTTGGAGTACTGCAGGCAGTCCCTGAAATCAGAAGTGAAGAGAATGACCGTGACAGCAAGAGGCAAACACTCAAATCCCAGGGAAGATGACATGTATTGTGAAGCAGAATAATCCCAATAACCCCAGTCACACAGGAGCACGGGAAACAAAGGGAAAAGCCCTGCCTCCTCTGTCACTCCTGAGATGTATTATTCAAGCAAAGGCAAACTTCCATAAACAACTTGGAACTATTTCACCAAACCTTTGGGTAATTCTCTAGTAATATTCACAGTACAATCAAGGGTGGGGGGTGTGGGGTGGGATGGTGGGAGTCTTAAGGTAATGAAGAAATGTGCCACCACTGCGCCACTTGAAGAAAAAGAAGAAGAAAAAAAGACCTGCTGGAAAAAAAATGTTTCAATTATAATTAAGTGGGATAAACTTTATTAGAAAGACTGAAACTAAAATATCTCCTAATGCATGCTGGGATTAAGCAGGTCAGAGCGAGCAGGCAGGAGAAATTAAACTCTAAAGGCTTTTTATCACCATATTTCAGGAACCAAGGGTGTAAAATGTTCTAATTTGGGATACATTAAAAGCCATAAAGGTCTTTCAAAAAGATTAATGGTACTTTGCTTGGATTTAAGATAAGGGCTCCGGCTGGCTGCAAGTGCTGGGCTCCGGCTGGGCCCTCAAGGCATTCATCTATAGTCACTGGAAGATTTGTGAAAGCGTCTGCATAACCTGAAGCGCACATACTATGACAGCTCTTCAGCTCTTTGCCATTTTATAGGTTTTTATTCCTCAAATCATGTTCGCTGCTCTTAAAAGGGAGTTATAACGGGCGATTGCTTTTACATTTGCAGGCGATTTGCGAGCAGATAGAGCCACATAAAGGCTTCCCTGCTACGTGATGGAGGGTGTAGGTGCTAAATGCTTCTTGAGTGTCTGCAATGAGATTATAAACCAGCCGTTTATTAAATTGTTGACAAATCTAAACAGCTCCTGCTCTCTAGTGTTTGGGGGGAAAACACTTTAGCTCATTCTGGGAGCATATGAAATGAAACTGCATGATGCTAAACGGTTCCATTTGGAGATTTACAGGCAGAGATTTTTTTTTCTTCAGCAGGATTACCCACATTAACCTGCTCTCCTGTGGGGTTGCATTTGAAATGCAAAAGGTCTTGAGAAAAAAGAGAAAAACACGCCTTCCTAAACATTCCAAAAGCTAAATTAAAACCCACTTCCATGCCCCTCATTTTCCCCGCTCTTTTAAATTCACAACATAGCGTTTACTATATTTAAAGCATTATAGGTCTTTCCTTTTTTTTTATCAGTATAGTCTACAATCCCTGATTGTCTTTACTGGGGCTCAACATTAATGTCAACCAAGTTACCTAGGAGACAGAGCAGATCAAAGAGACAAAAAAAAAAGCCCTCAAATGTCTGATTAATCAAGCCTGCAAACAGCTTATTTCTTTTAGCCTGCATGCAAGTATGAAAATGAGATTCCGAGAGCAGTACATTGTGCAGATTTGTTCATTCTTATCTGAACAAAGCCAGCGGCAGCTTATTTCATGGATCACTGGCACTGTCAGCGCTGTGGCGCCGAGCAGGTGACGGCTCCTCTTTCTGTGGCGAGAACAAAATTAGCAAAAAGTCGGCACAAATTAGCCTCTCATATTTTCCGTAATATGACATTATTTTTCATTTACTTTTTTGATCCACTTTTCAGGATTTTTTCCCCCCCTCCCCTTACGTGCATCTTAGTGGCAAATCCTTTCACATCAGAGGCTGGTGGGAAATAAGAATGAGAGCTGGAATAAAAAGCAGGAGACAGACTTCATCCTTTGTTTGTGTGGCTCCTTAAAGACAATTCTTCCCACTCCACCTCGTATTAATATACAATTAAGTGTCCATCACAGGCCATGTTTCTGTGTCTCTCTCTTGTGTGGCCTGGGCACAGTCGTGTTAAAAACAAGGTTTATTCAGAGGATTAATACTCTGACCTTTGGAAGATTTGAGGGCAAAAAAAAAAATCATCACACACAATGCTGGCACTGCAGCAGCAGCAGCTTAGGGCCACGAGGAGGGTTAAGTCAACAGCACCGTTTTCTGTTCATTCATGTTTGGGTCGTCATGGAGATTCAAGTGGAGACCTAACCATGGGGCCTGAACGCAAAATAAAATGTGTATAAGCCCTGCACAAGATAAACCTCTATCACACTCATTGTTCTATTGCATCATTTGTGAAATGTTTAAAATAAAAGAAGCATTAGGAACTCGTCACAAAAAACACTGTGGCAATTAAACAGCAAGTGCAATAAGACAATAGCTGAATGGAAGATGATAAAAATACATCTCCATGTGGATAAAGTGGTAAAGCTGCTTTTAACAATAAGAAATAAATGATGGCTTTAAGGAAAGAAATGGCCTTAAAGCCATTCATAAATTTCCTATCCAGGAAGCCCCTTCCAATTAAAACGTGTGAGAGGTGGATTAACAAGGGCTATATGGCTTTGCCTCGCTAAATCACCTCCCCGAGCTGCTCTGCTGCATTTGACGTGTAAACGATTAATGACCAGCCTAATTCCCTTATCACACTACCTTAATGCCTAAATAATGTGGCCTTAGTCAACTTTGGAAAAGCAGGGCTGTATAAGAAAGGAATGAATATCAGATTAGGCAGCTTGTGTGCTATTGCAGCATCATTTCTTAGAACTGAGGCGGAGGGGGAGAACAAATGTGGCCGCAGAGCTTCAGTGTTGCAGCAACGCAGGGTCAACAGATCAAGAGGTCGATCAATACCACCCATATCGCTTTAAAAAAGAAAGGAGAGAGAGTTTCATTCAGTTAGTTCATTTCAATACAAGTAATAGAGTAAAGGAGTGAACACAAAGGATGCGAATTAGCTCGAGGTCTTGTAAAAGACAATTGACTCTATTACATGTGAACAAACACACCTAAAGGGTTAAAACAATCTATTCATCTATTATCCAAATGTTGTTTTTTTTGGAAAGGTTACTTGTGTAAACGTACATAGGAAATATTAGCATAATAAAGTGGAAGAATCAAAAGTACTCAATGCATAAAAATGGCTGCTGCAATTGACATACTACTATATATTTGACCCTAAGCTTATTCTTACTAATGCATGGATGTGTTGGCAGCATTTGACTGTTGTAGTAGTTTAAGCTAACTTATGATCGTTCTTATTACTGATTAGTCTTCTTATTGTTCTCTTGATTAATTGTTTGGTCTGTAATCTATAGTGAGAAATGCAGATTCCCCTGAGCATATCATTAAATAGCTTGTGTTGTCCAACCAATAGTCCAACCCAATCATTTACTAATTTAAGATACAGGAAAGTGAAAAATCCTCATTTTGAAGAAGCTGGAACCATCGAATGATTGGCATTTCTGCTAGAAAGAAAATAATGAAAGGATTATTAGTCAAAATAGTCGCAGTTTCATTTCTGTTGACCTACTAAATGTGTTAGCTCAAAATGACGTGGTTTAACATAAAATAACGCACCATATTTGATAGGATCATCCCATGTTTTGCAAGTTAAATCTTAATATGTAAAATAACTATAGCTTATTTAGTAGCAACACAAATAAGTAGAACACTTTTCTCTGTGTTATAGTAGAGTTCAATTATAAATGGCATGACAATAAAAATAAACAACCAGACATTTCATAGAATATCTGTCTGCTACATCGAATATCTGTCAGTGCGCCTTTAGTATGAAGAGTCAAATACAAGTGATTTAATTGATAGCTAAGTTCATTACTTATAAAG